TATACTTAAAAAATAAGGAAAAAATTTGAATTTACGTGTAATATTATTTTATTGAAAAATATGTAGTTGAAATAATATTAAATCACTATTTAAGAATGTATTTTTCCAAAGAATGTGGCTCAATCAAGCTTTAAAGTTTCATTTTTATAAAATTATTTTCATTTGTTGTAGAAGTAAAATTATTTATTTCGAAGACTGTTATTAAAATAAGGAGGAATTTAACTAGATTTCATTGATCAAATATTTGAATTTTAAATAATTTAATAATGTAATAACTTCATATTTGTTTGGTATGTAATATTAAATTGATTAATAGAAATAAATATGCTCATAATATGTGCAAATGTGCCATATGCTGTGCGTGTTGAAGGTGCAAAGGTATTTGGATGTACACAGGTATGCAACGCGAGGGCGATCAGCCTCGATCTCAGTGGCGACACGGAGGATAGGGGCAATTGACTGGAGGGACGATGGTACAACTTCATTATCGAAAACCTCCATGGAGAACACAGTGTTGGCAGCACTACGCGAAGGGCGTCGTATCAGCATCGACTGGTGCCCTGATGATTCATTCCCCACATTCGACGACATTTTATTCTAAATTAAAATTTTTCCTTTCAATAAGTTTATTAGCCTCTGACTTGTTCAGTTAATCACTTGTGCAATGCCACGACGACGTTGTCTCCTCTCATTCTTTCTACGTATTCACCTCCACGTCTGAGAAACCAATTTTCACAAACAACATTAATAATCGAAAACATCCAATCATCAATTTTACAAATACATACATAAATGTATAGCAGCATTAATAAAAAAAAATGAAGAAAAAGGACTTTTCAAGCCAATACAAGACATGTTATCAATTATTACTCTACTATGAAACAACGAAACAGTTTGAACATATACATTTCACCGTTGGATCAAAAAGCTTCTATTAGATCACATTTATAACATTTGAATACAGTCTTCAAAAATTTTGCATTCATTATTTAAAATGAACATTTTCTTCTCCTTATGATCAACCATACTAAGAATTATGGGCTTTTAAAGCAATAATAAGTAGACGCATATATGTACGTGTGTGCGCGCGCAACTGTGACGACATTGAACGTAGAAGAAATTCGGAAATGTGAACGAATGAATTCATATGCTGTTTACCTGGCGGAGAGGAATTCTGAAGGTGGTGAAAGAGAGGGATAATTTAAATGGGGAGAGAGAAATTTGGAGTTTGGTTAAAAAGACATTTGGTTGGATGTTGAGACATTTATGGACACACCGTTAACGGGCTCAACGGTAAACCGTTCTTTTTGTCTCTTTTTTGGTACAAGTTTTCTTATTCTATGTCTGTTGAAAAGATTTATAATTGGTCTTGTAAGAAGATTGGATAGTAATCCGTCTTGACTATGATGTCGAAGGGGCTAAAGTGTTGGATCATTAATTAGACGGTTGGGGTGGATCGATACCTTAAAATTAATGAGAATTATCTTTTCAATTTGAAAAATAAGGTATTAATAATTTTTTTAATCAAAAATCTGGTATTTTTATACCGCACTCCATCCCAGCTCACCTCACCCATCATCTTTCTTCCCAAAATCTAATCGCTAGGTTTGTGGACAAAGTCAATTCAACCACCAGAATCAATTCAGCCATAGCCAACTCCGGCCACTAATGGCCATTATACAAGTACTGGACTCAGTGGCGAATCTAGGACTTCAACTCAGTTAGGGCGGCTGTTAATCGTTGGCCGTTGTCTGTCGATAATTAACGACCGTATAGCGATATCGTTTATTAATATTAAATTAAATAATATTAAAATTTCTTCAATCTATATGTAAATAAACTCAAACATAAAAATCGTATATTTATATCATATTATATTTCCATACAATCCGAAATAATATAAATTACATGATATATAAGACTTCTTTGTGTTATCAATACTTAATAAATCGTTTGCTTGGCTAAAAGTGGTTGAAAGATTAGATACACCACTACAAAAACTAGATTAAAATTCAGTTGAAAAAATCATTTCATAATTAGTATGAGAATTGAACGTTAATCAAAGATTAAACGAAATTAAAAGTAATTTTAAAATATAATTAAAGTTTCAATTCTCAACACCAATTCATTACAAATTATAAATTCCCCAATTTCTCATTTTTAATTTTCATGAATCAAATATTCACATTTCACGATACTCAAATTAATTTTTTATATCACAATTCACAATAAACAAATTCTCAAATAACATATAAATTAAAACTCAATACTCATAACTCATATCTTATAAATTATTAAAGTATAAAATATTTTAAAAAAAACCTTTTGTAAAGTCTTAACATATATTATTTTGTTAAATTTAGATTCAAAATTCAACCATGACCATAATGGTTAAGCTTCCAATCATCCTAATTCTAGAAGTTATAGGTTCGAATCCTTTCCTTAGGAAATTAATTTTGGTAAATATTGTAAAAATAAAAATTTTACACAATGAAACTGAGGGGAAGGAATCGAACTCAAGACTCACAATATATAAAATGAAGCTTTAACCAATTAAGCAAAAAAGATGTTTGAAAATAAAATAAACTACCAATTATATAACCTAAAATTTTTATCTATTACCAACAAAAAAAAAAAATTCTCCCCGACGAATCCAGCTAGGGCGGCCACATACTAGATCTGCCCATGGTACTGGTCATTGTTCGTGGTGACAAAATTAAATAATATATGACTAATTATTATCATTAAACCTTATAAATGTGTAATTTGAGATTAAATATGTAATTGTCACAAACTCTGACTTTGTGACTATAACTTTGTATAATTTATGTCTAATGTGTGATTGTAACTATAAATTGTGTGTTTTTGTGACCTTGACTTAATTAATTAAATTATAGATCACAATATTTTATCATACATCACAAAATGTGCCCACCGGCCGAGTGTTTTGAAAAAAATCCATAAGTTGTTATTTGTGGAAATGTATTTTGAAACCTTCATATTTATGTAGTGTTCCCTACAAATTATATGTAGAAGTTTTCGAGGTATTTAATAGACCCACAATCTCCTAACCTCATGTCTTGATTCCATGGCAACATCCTCAATTTTGTGGGCGCATATATCGAGGTTTCAATCCACCTATGATTCGGGTAACGAGGCCACTATTAATAATCACATAATGTCTAAAAAAATCAAGGTGGTGTCGTTAGCGTCTAATTTGGTCAAAAAATGGTTATGGTGGTGCTGTGGATGTGTGGTGCATTTTTTGTTTTTGCAATGGTGGATTACGATCTACATGGTGGTGCTGGTGGCTAATGTCGTGTCTTTGGTAGTGTGAATACGCAGTGGTGGTGGTATGGTGTAAAGGTCTACGGGCGTGTTGTGGTAGTTATAGTGCAATGGGTATGATGGGGTGCAAGCGGTGGTGGTTGTGGTTCGTTCAAGGTGGAATTGGTGGCGACGATAGTGGAGGTGTGGGATGAGGTGGAAAGATGAAGGATAATCTATAACCATTTTAATTGAGAAAATTATGATCAATTAATTTGATAATTTTTTATCGAAAATTAAATTATGATCAATTAGTTTGATTATTTATCATCGATAAATAAGTTGTGACTAATTTAATAATTTATGATCGAAATAGGTTGTTACCTAGTAATTCATGACCAATAAATAAGTTGTGATCGGTTAATGTGATAATTTGTGATCGATAAATTGGTTTTGATTTATAAAAATATGTGATTTTGTCTAAATTTACAATTTATGGCGCATGTTTTTCTCTTTGCAATTGTAACATGACTCGTTCGAAATTGTTACCATACATTTATATGTTATTATGGCTTGCAATTGTATCTTTGCGATTATGACCTTATATGAATTGTGACTTTGACTATAAATTATATGGTATTGTGAATGTGATCAATTTAGTTAAATTTTGAGTCACGAGATTTTATCAGAGATCACAAAATGTGACCATCTAATTTTTTTTAACAATAAGAATTATGATTTTCAAATGATAGATAAAGAAAGTAGTGTCAGAGAGAGAGAGAGAGAGAAAAGAGGAGAAAGAGAGAGAGAGAGAGAGAGAGAGAGAGAGAGAGAGAGAGAGAGAGAGAGAGAGAGAAATGAAGTTCTTTTTTTGTGAACATTAAAATTCAGATTTTAATCCAAGTCAAAATCAATAATCACTATTTACAAATTCTTTTACGGGTTGGTGAGGTATTAAAAAGAGAGTGGAGAAAATTAATTTTTTAGTTGGTTGTTTAAATTATGACTCAATCATATCTCGTTGCATCATTTGTTGATAAACAAATCCATAAATGATGATGCACATGTAACACAACAGAAAAATTTATGCACAAATTTTATAGTTATATATTTTTCCCTTCTACAGAAAGAAACAAGATCAAATATTAAAGGAGTATTCGGGCTCGACCCCGCTCGACTTGATCCCAAAAAGCCTGGGACTAGGGTTTAAAGCCCACGAGCTCGATAAATAGGGCTAATAGAGGGTGGGGCTCCAAATTGCATCAACACGGGTCCGAACATTTCATAATTTGAAATGCAGGCATATGTAACTTTAAAATAAAAAATCTCCTATAAAATCCTATTATCGTCGACGTTAAGTCATGATTGAATAGTGATTTTATTGCATGTGATTCGAAGTCGAGTTACGAGGCAAGTTTCACCACATGCTAGGGATGCTAGGGTTTGATTCTGGATAATAGTGGAAGGTTTGTCGAGTGAATAATAGCTAAAAAGTTAAGTATTGTTCGCATAGATATTTGTGAAAGATTTAAAATTTTACTTTATGAATTAAAAATATTTTTGAAGCTTTTTTGTTACTTAAAATTAAAAATAGACAAGTTAGTTCCAGTAAAAAGAAGTAATTTCCTTTCGTTATAATTATGCTTAAACATATTCATAAGCTTAGACAAACATCCCATGGTAAAAGGCTCAAATATCCAATTTACCCCCGAATGCGCGAGTAACTAAAATACGCGACACTAGGGTTTTATTTGTTATCCTCTCCGTTATTCCCCTATTTCACAGTCGACTCGTTTCCCTCGTTTTGCCTCTTCACATCTAATACTCCACCGGTCCCAGAGGTAATCAAATATATACCCCCTCTTTTTAGTATTTTTCGGAATTATTACGTATGTGTATGTATATCTATATCCATTAATACTGATTGAGCTTTAATACGCATTTTTATTTTTCTGATTAATTTTTTATTTAAAAGTTGAGTACATGTAATGTAAGGTTCATCGTCTTTTGTACTCCGTGCTTTTCATTGTATTCACGGTTTTGGAAATTGGGTTTTTACTATGGTGATTATGCTAGTGTTTTTTTTCTTTGTAAGTCCCCTTTTTTTCTTGCAGCAATGTTGTTGTTATTGTTGTTCGTCAAGTGGTTAAATGTTAAAAAATGCGGCTAGTTCATCTTTTTTGTTAAATAAGCAGACATATATTGTTTATAGCAGCTGCATTCTTTTTTAACAAGAACTTATTTGCCTAAAAAGAAAGCAAGAGAAATTAATTCATTATTTTCTACTTTCAGTATTATTTAGTTATGTTATTGCTTCTTTTACTAACAGTTGTGAAAGACAAGATATTAGTACATATTTTCATTTGGGAGTTACTTCTTCCACTTCATCACATCTAGTCATCATGCCCTGGCTTATAATTATGATGATTGTGGTCAAGACATGCCTTTAAAAGTGACTGTCATTTATGAAAACAATATTTTAGTGTAAAGTTGTGCCTGATTTAATACCTGTGTTTTATGTGGAATAATCATACTTTTGAACTTATTATTGATTTTTTTTTGGCAACATATGTTTTAGTCTGTGTGCCCTGTGAGGCAAAATTTCATATGATAATTATGACGAGCTTAAGAGGACCTGACCTATGGAAGTTTTCTCCATGAAGACATTGGTTGTTAAGATTCTTTTGAAATATGGAGTTGCCTTGAAAAATTGGCATGTTGAAAATAAGCAATCTGAAGACATCTGAAATTGTTAATACTTAGGCCATGTTTGAGCCACATTTTTTCAAAAAAATACATTCTTAAACAATGATTTGATGTCATTTCAACCACACATTCTTTAATAAAATAATATTACACGCAAATTCAAAATTTTTTATTATTTTTTAACCACACATTTCCTATCAATACACTATTCAAAAATGCATTCTAAAGAAAATAATGTGGCTCAAACAAGGGTTTAATGGGCATTACCCTCTATTTTTTCATGACAGATGAATGTGGAAAAGCTAATGAAGATGGCTGGTTCAGTCCGAACTGGTGGGAAAGGTACCATGAGAAGGTTTGTGTTGCTGTGATGCTTTATGCTATTTTTTTTTTGTTCATTAGTTAAATGCGTGCATTTTTTTTCGTGAAAGGAATTACAGAGGTTTACTGCACTCATAAAGGAGAGGGATTTTGTGGTAAACTTGATTGTTAGCTTGTCATTTTAGAGTTACTGTTGCCACGCCATTTCCATGGAAGAACACTTATGGATTTCAAGCTGGGTTGTTAGCTTCTCCTGTGAGACATGCTGTGGATACCTAATACCATATGCTTCTGCAATGGGAGACAGATTTTATTGGTCCTCACTCATGGAAACGATGATTTTTGTTTTTCATTTGTCTCAGGGATTTAACTCCTGGGAAATGGGTAAATTTTAAGGAGAAACAAAATTCCTCTTGGAAATTATGTTACTTGTCTTCCTCAGAAATGACCACATCAACTTCAATTGGTCTTTTTTAAATCACGACATAGTTTACTGGAAAGTTTAGGTCCTGCAATGCAAGTACTGTATAGGTTGCTTGTTTATGCCTATCTTTAATATTAATAAATATAATTATGCCCTTAATTGCAGAAAGAAGAAATCTGTTCACAAGACTACCACCACAGATGACAAAAGACTGCAAAGCACCCTGAAGAGAATTGGGGTGAATGCTATTCCTGCAATTGAGGAGGTGAATATTTTCAAGGAGGATGTAGTCATCCAGTTCACTAATCCTAAAGGTACCCACAGGCTGCTGAAATTCTCTATCCAATTGATTTTTTTTTCCTTTTTCTTTTGTTCTTTGGTCCTTACCAGTGTTTCCTTCTGTGTATAGTTCAAGCATCTATTGCTGCCAACACTTGGGTTGTTAGTGGCACTCCTCAGAACAAGAGTATGTTTTCCTTTCTCTTAATTAGGAAGTTAACATGGGTTTTCAAATCCATTGTTATTCTAGCATATTCTATGATGTGGAATTTTACATACTATTTCAGGGTATCTTTTAGAGAGCTCCTGTTAGTGTTTATGCTAGACTAGGAAACTGTGTTTTTTGGTCTATTTTTCGTTGGTAAAATTTAAAACTGTTATATGATCATCAAAGGGCTTACTGATTTTGTAATTGGGTACTTGAGTTGCTTCTTAAATTATTCCTCTCTTTTAATTTTCCGTGGCGTTTATTTGGATAGAGGGAACATCCACGTTTATTTCCAATTCTCTAAAATGCATACTGACTTTTTTTTTTTTAATTCTATTCTAGAATTGCAAGATATTCTCCCTCAAATTATTCAACAATTGGGTATGCATCCCCCTTTTCCTTTTGGTAGTATATGTCTTGCTGGCATCCTCGGAAAACTGACTTGACTCGAGGTTTATTGTGAAAAATTTCAGGTCCTGATAACTTGGAGAATTTGAAGAAATTGGCAGAGCAGTTCCAGAAGGAGGGACCTGGAGCTGGTGCTGGTTCTAATACTGCACCAGAAGAAGATGATGATGATGTGCCGGACCTTGTTGCTGGCCAGACCTTCGAAGCTGCTGCAGAGGAGAGCCACACTTAGGAGTTGAATATCAATTTTTGTGTCATTCCTTACATGTTTTGTGTTTTTGAGCGCTGTTTTTTTTCTCTAGTTGATGTTTTTGATTGACGCTAGAAAGTTGTTACTTTGAAATTTTTATTCAGTAATCAGCTTAATCCTCTACAGATGTTTTCCGCTATAAATGAATCCAATCGGTCCTGGGAAGTAGTTGTGATCAAAATATTAAAACATAGATGATGTAAATCAGACGAGTGAAGAATAAAAAGGAATTTTTTTTGTGGTCAAATAGTTGGCCATTTTATAGGACATTATATGATCCTAATAATTTCAACCTTAAGTCAAACGTTGAAATGATTTCATTATTATTTTCTTACAATTTGAAGTCTGTCAAAAATTAATTTTAATTAAATATTTAAAATTAATAGTCACCTATTATTCTCACATTTTGTGAGATTCACCATCTTTTCATTATTATTTTATCCAAATAAGCATTAACATTACTTGCAATTGTAAGCACCCGTTTGAATCACACTATTGAAAAAATGAGAATGAAAAATATAGTCGTTATGAATCTCACACAAGAGATAAAAAGTCGAATATGGTGACTTGATATGGTGGATAAATGTTATATTTTTCATTTTAATGAGAAAATAATGAGGTTCAAATATAACCTAAATTTAATTTTATGAGAATATAATGGGAATATATTTACTTGACAACAATATCTTATAAAATATATGACATATAAAAGAATAAAGCTTTGCGAGTGACACAATTTTACATCACAGTCAATGATTTTCAACATCATTACTTAAGTCAGTGGTCAGTAACAAAGATTATCAGTGATCACGTAATGATGTCAATAATTCGGACGGTCGCTAATTTGAAATGAATCGTCAACATATGGATTGGAAGTAGTGACACCGATTTAAGAAAATTGGTTATTGCAATTGAATTCACGATGTTGGTGATTCAGAGAGAATTATCGACAGTGATACCGTTACAGTGAGATGCACTTCCTTTTTTTTGTTGTTGTTGTTGTTGTTGTTCTTATTATTATTATTTTTTATTTTTTCATTTTTTTTGGGTCAGTTCATTTTAGTTTTGCTCGAGGACTAGCTTAAGTGTAAGTTTTGAGAATTTTAAAACATCATTCTTTGAAATCGCAAGTTTACGATATTGTGATAGTAGTATAACAATGATCTATTAACCTTGTTGATCCTACTAGTTACTTGATACGGTGGTAAAATTAACAGTAAATTGGTTTAACATTAAACTAATTTTTAAACTAGTAACTAACTAACAACTTAGGATATAAGAAAAATGGACGACGTAAAAGTTTTAGAATTCACGAATTCACCTTCGTTATTTTATTTAATTTTGCTTATCAAATCATGACAGTTATTCCATCTGTGACAACAATCAATTTTATTTAAATTATTTGATAATTAAAATCAAACATACTTGAAGATTATAATTTTGCTATATTGCAATGTAAATTCAATGAATTCAGGTGCATTCAATCACAATTAATTCACAAGCCATCACACAAATCATAAAAGCATATTTCTATCTTCTTATCCGAATTCGCAATTTTTGTTGTGGTGCTAAATAAGCAATTACTTTCACATACAATCCATAAAGTAGCTGAATTTATGAAAATGCTAGCAAATCAACGATAAAGATTCAATACGAAATCATAATTAAAGTCAAAACTCGAAATTTGATCCAACTAAACTACATCGTTCATCTTATCAATTAAGAATTTAGCTACTGATAGATAAAGTACACAAAATCATAATAAATTTAAACAGATCATCACCCAAATTGAGAAGAAGGAAGAAAAGAGAAAATAGATGATCAATCTTAGATATTAAGGCCGTGGTTGGTTTGTCGTTTTCGGCCCATTTTCCGTTTTTCGTTTTCAAAAACGCGTTTGGTCCGTCGTTTTCGAAAACGCATTCTTGAAAACGAGTTAAAATTTATAACTGAAAACGCAAAACAACTTTTTATCATTTTTAGCGTTTTCAGTTATAAATGTCAAAAACGCTCAAAACGCGTAAAACGGGTCGTTTTCGGGAAAAACTAAAAATCATTTTGAAAATGAAAATGAAAATCAACCGCACCCTAAGAATCCCAAAACCATGGCAACAATTTTCTTCTTCAAAAACTAGGTTTAAAGTCATGTATTTTTTGAATATTACCTCCCACACAATGTTTGTGCAATCAAGTATATAATTAGTCTAGAAAACCCCTCAATTTTAGTCTATTAACTATTAAGAGCCCAATTGTACATGAATTGCGCCAATTTCAGCAAACTCCGGGAATGGTTGGCGGGATTTCATTAAGCAGCTATTTATTTCAATTGTGATTTAAACTAAATAAAGTCCTTATCTGGGATGGGTCGATCAAATTGCCTAAGACTTTGGTTTGTCAATGGAAGTCAAGCACTATAAATGTTGAGAGTCATATGTTTTTCTTTTTCTAAACTGTCAGCCAATTAAGAATAAATTGAAGTACGTTCTTCTTTCATCCTTACAGCTCAATTTTGAGTTTCTAGTTGACACATTCGGTATATTGAATACAATAGTTTGAATTAGGTTAGACATATTGAATTGTTTGTTTGAAATTTATTAGATTTTAATACTATATTGATGTTTTATTTTGTTAATCTTATTATAAAAAGTCATCAAAACCCTTTTATATTATATTTAAATAACGTGTCAAATTCAGTTACCTAAGAAATAAGACGTATTTTTCAATTTATAATTGCACAATGATGGAGATTTCAATAAAAACTAGTATAAAAAATAGCTTGTATTTCAACAAGTGTTCTAGAAAGTGGTACTTAGGCGGCGGACACAAAACGTCCTGCCTCACACCTTCTTGCGCTTCTTTTTTATTATTATTTTTTGCTTTTTTATTTTGCTCCTATGTGCACTTTTTTTCCCAATATAGTATGTTGATGTCAAAATTAGTAAGACTAATCTTAAGCCAACTTTAAGAAAAAATGGTAATTTATTGTTGAAAAAAGACCACAAAATATATTTAAAGAGTGTAATTATACCTTGAGTTGTTGTATGAAATCACTTGCCCTTTACAAGAGTCATATTCAACTATTTATACATAATTTCAGCTGACATTACATCAAATCAATCAAATCAGCAACAGTACCGAACTCGGAACTCGGGTCGCCGAATTCTCTTGTGATTGGTCGATGAGGCCGGTGGTCATGTGTCAATATTTTCCCCATGTAATGATGACCTGCAAGGGGCTAGAGGTTGTGGACTTAGGATTGGTTGTTCCGGGCGGTGATGATGTCACTTGTGGCAAGTGTATTTGATTGATAGGGTGATGTGACATGGGGTAATCATGATTTTTTCTGAGATAACGACGGGATTGTCCGACCTGAGAGTAAGGACCGAACTCACATTTAATTGAGATGGGGTTAGCGAACTGTTTTTATTAGATTGGAGTTCGGATGTCAACAGTTACCCCCCAGGTCAGTTCTTTCGTAAGGGGGGTTGACCTTCTGACTTCACGGGTTCTTTTTTCAAGAAAAGTAATTATTATTATGCCAAGTGTCGTGCCTGGGTGGGGATGAGCTACGCGGCATTTTTAGATAGCTTCTTTGATAAGTTTCCTGATGCTGCGTCATTTTGCCCATGAGACATTTTAACCGTAGATCTTCCCTCCTTTATTTTGAACTAACGGCCCAGATTAAAACCCTTTATCTTCATTCTTTTAAAATATTCAATGGTTTTTCATTTTGTCTTTTTACTTTACACTATTTTCTCTCAAAGCACCAAGTAATTTCGAGCACGCCTTGTCTGTCGTTTGAGTAAGGTCGTCCTTTGAGTTCCCAGGTACTCCTTCGCTTCTTCACTTAGTCCGTTTGTTTTGTTCTTTTCCATGAGTTCGGACGAGTCGAGGGTTCAATCCTGCGGAAATCAACAGGAAAAATCCGTCCCTTCTACTTCTAGTTCGTTCTCGGGTGTAGAGAGATTTTTACTCCTGTTCCTATTTCTGTTACTAACCCCGTTACTTTGGCCCATCTTGGGGAGATGGGGCGAGATATGGTAGATGAGGAGGTGGGTTCCCCTATGGGTAGTGAAGGGAACGATTAGTTGGAGTGGGGGGCTGGTTCTTACAGGTCGGTAGTTACAGGTGATACGTTATCTAGTTGGAGGGCAAAATATGATATTTCGAGTTTGGTAATTTTGATAATCACTGAACCATCTGATCGTGCTGACATTCCTCCTATGGGATGTGTCTCATTGAATTCTGTCATCTTTCAAGCCGGGCTGAGATTACCTATTCCTAGGGTTATTCATAAGTTCTTCTCTTCTTGGGACATAGCTCCGACCCAGTTATGCCCAAATGGGTGGCAAACTCTGATCCCCACGCTTATTTTATGGGATAGATTAGGTAACCCTGAGCTTACGGTTGAGCAGTTCAACTCTTTATTTACTTTTAAGGAGGATGGGAAGAACTCGGGTTGGTGGTACAAAGTGTTAGGCCAAGGACGGGAGGTTCTCTGGTTTTAGACACCCCTCCTCGATTAAGAAATGGAAGGAACAGTGGTTCTATGTGTTGGGGGAGTGGCAGTTTCATTCTTCCGAGGTGCATAGGGATGACGTGGTCCCAACGCTTTATCACTCGTTATGTAAGTAATTGCCTCTTGGTGTTTTGACCTAGATTGTATTCCGAGCGGCTCTAATTGATATCATGTTATTATGCAGATTACAAGAGGCCTACACTGAAGAAAGACACTCAGAGGTGAGCGGAAGCAATTCGTGCATGGCCGAAGAAACAGAGATCTTGCAAGTTTTTGCTCTCGAATTCCAACATTTTCCAGGCCGGCTTGATTCAAACCAGGGTGTCGGGGCCTTCCACCGTCGCAGCGTCTATATCGGTTCCGACCAGTTCAGGTCGGTTTTGATTGGTTTATTGAGGTGATATTTGTTAGAGTTGAGTACTGACATACTTTTTTGTTTACAGCTCACAATTCAAAAATGTTGGGATACAAGGCGGCGAAAGCTGCTGCCGCAACGAAAGCCAAGAAGAGGGACGTCCCAAAACGGGATGAAAGTCGTTCTGATGAAGTGGAGGACGAGGTCCCCTGAAGAGGAACCGTACTGGTACGCTGGCCGCACCAAGGGTCCCTGAAGCTGATCCTGCGTTGAGCTCTTCTCCTTTGGTGGCCATCACTTTTCCGTCTCCAGCTCATACCTCGCCACCTCCTGCGGCACCTACTTCTGCTTCGACTAGCTCGACAAGGGTACAGGAGAGGTGCCCGGACTTACAAAGGCCATCGCTGGATAGTCTGCTAGGCCACCGTCCAGAGATCTTCCTGGATTACTTGTGAGCTCCATCTCCATCGAGGGAGGTTGCTGCTGCATTTCTCCCGCCTCTGCGTGATTTTGCAAACCTGCTTACCAGGAGTTGGGTGAAAGGGAGCAGGGCTTCCTTAATGAGATGCCCATAGGTGAGGCCCTAGTGACTGCTCAACTCCACGGCCATCACTCTATCCTGTACATGATGGCCATAGCTGATAAGGTATTTTCCTTACTTCATTTTATTTGATGATTTACATATTTGCGAGGTGCTTAACTTATGGATTTTAATGTGGGTAAAATCTGAGCTCGACAAACTGATGGAGGCCAAGGATCAGGCCTTGAATTTGTATAACAGCATGGAGGCTGAGAGAGCTCAGTTTGCAATAAAAGAAAAAGAATAAGAGGAGAAGCTTAACACGATGGGGTTTGAGCTGAACTTGAGGCTGGAGATGGAGGAGAAGTGGATGGGAGAGATTAGAGCTCTGAGGGAGGAGGCCGGTCGTAGGGCTGAGACTGAGAAGAAGAGGATTGAAGAAGAGAGAGTTCGGACTGAGGAGGCTGTGGAAAAGGTACGGGAGGCAAATGAGAGAGCAAGAGAGGTAATGCGTAGAGCTGAGGAGGCTGAATCTAGGGCTGTGAGGGTAGTGGAGACTTAGAGGTTGTCCTCCGAGTTTGACGCTCTTGCTCAGGATGCTTATGTCGTGGCTCTGGAGGAAATAGTAAAACACATTCACATAGAGAGGCCAGGGTTCGACGTGGGTTTCCTTGAGGAGGCTGTGGAACAGCAAAATGAAGAGCTTCAGCGTTTGTCAGAAGCGGCAGGGGTTCGAATTTCTGCTGATGAAGATGATGTCGCTCCTCACGAAGACCTCCCTCACCCTAGCTCTTCTTAGGACATTTTTTGGATTTGTGATGAATTTGTTAAACTTTATGGATATCTTATTTATGTTCGAAGATGAATCGTACTCTATTTTGAATGCTTATGAAAATGCATATTTTTTTTGTGGAGTTGCTTATTTCATCCTTTCGTGAATTTTTAATGATGGAATGTCTTCTAGTCAGCGTATGTGATAGAACTCGTAAGTCATCCGAACCTGGATCGGCCTGCACATGCTGCTGGGCTTCGTAGAATTTCCAAATAGGAATTTCCGCTAAGGGTTGTAACATTTACGACCTTAGATCGGCCTGCGTAAGTAGCAAGGCTTTGTAAGATTCCTTAAGAGGAATGTTCACTAAGGGTCGCAGCACTTACGACCTTAGATCGGCCTGCGTATGGAGCAGGGCTTTGTAAGATTCCTTAGGAGGAATGTCCACTAAGGGTAACACGTACAGCCTTAGATCGGCCTGCGTGTGTAGTAGGGCTTTGTAAGATTCCTTAGGAGGAATGTCCACTAAGGGTAACACGTACAGCCTTAGATCGGCCTGCGTGTGTAGTAGGGCTTTGTAAGATTCCTTAGGAGGAATGTCTTCCAAGGGTAACACGTATAGCCTTAGATCGGCTTGCGTAAATAGCAAGGCTTTGTAAAATTCCTTAGGAGGAATGTCCACTAAGGGTAACACTTACAGCCTTAGATCGGTCTACGTATGTAGCAGAGCTTTGTAAGATTCTTTAGGAGGAATGTTTACTAAGGGTCATAGCACTTACGACCTTAGATCGGTCTGCGTATGAAGCAGGGCTTTGTAAGATTCTTTAGGAAGAATGTCCACTAAGGGTAACACGTACAGCCTTAAATTGGCCTGCGTATGTAGCAGGGCTTTGTAAGATTTCTTAGGAGGAATGTCCATTAAGAGTCGCAGCACTTGCGACTTTAAATCGGCCTGCGTATGGAGCAGGGCTTTGTAAGATTCCTTATGTCCACTAAGGGTCATAACACTTACGACCTTAGATTGGCCTGCGTATGGAGCAAGGCTTTGTAAAATTCCTTAGGAGAAATGTCCACTAAGGGTAACACATACAGCCTTAGATCGGTCTGCGTATGTAGTAGAGCTTTGTAAGATTCTTTAGGAGGAATGTCCATTAAGGATAACACGTACAGCTTTAGATCGGCCTGCATAAGTAGCAGGGCTTTGTAAGATTTCTTAGGAGGAATGTCCCTTTTCATTGGTGTGATTAACATTACAAGTGGGCTTTATATGTTGCGGACTTTTCCCATTCATTGATAATACTACTTGAGGTGTTCAGCATTCCAAGGATGGGGTAAGGGTCTACCCTCCAAGTCTTCCAACTCATATCCCCCTTTTAGTAGGACTTTCGTTATTAGATAGGGGCCCTTCCAATTCGGGCCCAGGCATCCACTGCCTACCTCTCTTATGGGAAGGAATACTTTTCGTAATACGAAGGATCCTAGAGGAATACTTTTCGTAATACGAGGGATCCTACTTCGAATTCTCTTTTTCGGACTTTTTGATTGTAGTACTTGGCGTTCCGCTACTTGTAAACAACATTTTTAAGATCGGCATTGTTCCTTTTCTCCTCGGTTAGGTCAAGTTCCGTACGAAGAGCCATGTGGTTCCTTTCTTTGTCGTAATCAGTTATGCGCAGCAAGGGAATGCCGACTTCTAGTGTGATCATGGCCTCTATACCAAAAGCCAGTGAGAACGGTGTTTCTCCCTTGCTAGTCCTTGCAGCGGTGAGATAAGACCATAGCACACTGGGAAGTTCGTCGGCCCATCCTTCTGTAAACAAGTTGAGTTTTACTTTTAATGTATGCTTAATAATTTTGTTAATAGTTTCGACTTGGCCGTTTGCCTGTTGATGGTTTGGCGTTGAGAAATATTTCTTAATGTCGAACTCTTCACAGAAATTTGAAAGTCGTGCGTTGTTGAACTATTTTTCATTGTCCGTAACAATGGAGTGAGGTATGTCGAACCTGTAGATGATTGATTTCCACAAAAAGACGGTTGTATTCTGTTCGGTGATCTTGGCAAGTGGCTCTGCCTCGACCCATTTGGTGAAGTAATCAACTGCGACGATGGCGAATTTTACACCTCCTTTTCCAACAGGCATAGGTCCAATTAGGTCGACCCCCCATTTCGCAAAGGGCTAAGGTGCTGTTACTGGATTTAACTCGCGCGGTGGAGTGTTTATGATGGGGGTGAGGCGCTGGCATTTGTCGTATCTTTTGACAAATTCAAGGGAATCACGTTTTATTGCAGTCCAGGAGTATCCTTGTCGTATGATTTTGTGGGCTAGTGAAAGCCCACCTGAATGGTTTCCACATATTCCTTCGTGAACGTCTTGCAGAGTATGCTGAGCTTCTTCTTCGTTTAAACACCTTAACAAAGGTGTAGAATATCCTCGTTTGTATAGTATATCGTCAATAAGTGTATTCCTGGTCGACCTGATTCGAAGCTTTTTAGCCTCTGCAAAATTTTCGGGACATTTTTCGATTTTTAGGTAGGTGACGATCTCATCCTGCCAGGTTAGTTTGGGGTCTATCATCATATGGACCACTTCGTCCAGCTCGGTATACGGTAGGGATATTCTTCCCACGGGGATGCTATCGAATTCTTCAATTTCCTCACTGGTGGCTAGTCGAGCCAGTGCATCGGTGTGACCGTTCTGCGATCAGAGAATTTGCTTGACTTCGGTGGTGTTGAACCTTTCAAGTTCTTTTCTTACAACTTGTAGATAGTTGTCCGTTCTTTCTTCTTTTGCCATATATACACCGTTGACCTGATTTACGACTAGTTGAGAGTCGCTGTATATGATCAGGTCGAAGATCCCCAACTCTGAGGCCATCCTTGTGCCGGCAATGAGAGTTTCGTACTCTGCCTCATTGTTCGAGGCTTTAAAGTCAAATGGCAAGGCCTCGCAGAATATGCGATGTTCAGGGCTGATTAATACGACGCTTGCCCCAGATCGTTCTCCGGTGGATGAACCGTCGACATAAAGTCTCCATGGTGTTTCTTTTTGTAGTTCTTCAATTGGGACGTTGCAGAACTCAGAGACAAAGTCGGCGAGTGCTTGGCCCTTGATGGAGAAACGTGGCGTGTATTTGATATCAAATTGTCCGAGCTCGACTGTCCATTTTACCATCCGACCTGAAGTGTCAGGTCTTTGTAGTGTTTGCCTGAATGGAGAGTTGGTGAGGACTTCAGTGGGGTGTTTCAAGAAGTATGGCCTTAGTTTTCTCGCGGCCATCAGCAGGGTGAATGCCAGTTTCTCTACAGGTGAATATCTGAGCTCGACTTCATAAAGCGCCTTGCTTACGTAATAGATTGGGTGTTGAACACCGTTCTCTTCTTGGGTTAGAACTGCACTAATGGCGTGTTCTGAAACAAATAAATAAAGTTTCAGGGCCTCTCCAGCCTTAGGTTTTGAAAGCAACGGAGGTTGAGCTAGTTGTCTTTTTAGCTTGTTAAAGGCGTCCTGGCATTCTTTGGTCCATTCGAACTTCTTTCCTCCTCGTAACGTGTCAAAGAAGGGTTTGCAATGGTCCGTAGACTTGGAGACGAACCGGCTGAGGGTGGCAATCCTTCCGGTTAAACTTTGTACCTCTCTAGGTTTAGTTGGAGGCCTCATTTGGATGACAGTTTGTATTTTTTCAGGATTTGCCTCGATTCCTCGGTTGTTCACAATATAACCTAGGAATCTTCTAGAGCTGACCCCGAAAGCACATTTCCTTGGGTTCAACTTCGTTCCATACTTCCTCAGTATATCAAATATCTCGGTTAGGTACTAACAGTGATCCTTGGCCTTAATGTTTTTGACCAGCATATCGTTAACATACACTTCCATTTTTTTTCCAATTTGTTGGGAAACCATGGAATTTACTAGTCGTTGGTAGGTCGCACCAGCGTTTTTGAGACCAAATGACATTACTCTGTAGCAGTAAAGACCTCGATCAGTTACAAACGAGGTATGTTCTTGATCTAGGCCATACATCGGTATCTGGTTATATCTGGAATATGCGTCCATGAAGCTGAGTAGTTCGTGTCCGGCAGTGGCGTCCACCATTTGATCTATTCTTGGCAAAGTAAAACTGTCTTTTGGGCATGCTTTGTTGAGGTCGGTGAAGTTTATGCATACCCTCCAATCTCCGTTGTGTTTTTTCACAAGGATCGGATTTGCGACCCACTTCGGGTATTTGGTCTCACGGAGGAAACCGTTATGAAACAGTTTTTGCACCTCCCTGTTGAGTGCTTCATATCTTTCAGGGGTTCAGAGGTCGTCGTTTTTGCTGCTTTGGCCGAACTGAAAGATCCACCTGTAATTTGTGGCATGCAATGTTGGGGTCTATTCTTCTTATGTCCCGTGATTCCAGGCGAAGACATCAATATTTTGTCTAAAGAAGGCCACAATTTTGTTTCGGGTGGATGGCTACAACTCGTGCCCAACTTTTAGCTCCTTTGTTGGGTCTTGACACAGACTTGAACTCCTTCTAGTTCTTCGACGGGTTCTCCTCCTTCGATCCTTGTCCGCGGGTCTAGTGGAATGAGCTCGGATTCCCATACGTTTGCCTTATGCACTCCCAGGGAATTCCGTTGATGGTTGGTACATGTTTCCCTCATGGCGATTATTTGAGGGTCCTGCCGTCGTGGAGAACTTGGTGGTGTATTCGTTTCATGAGGATGATTGTGAAATGGATTTCTGGAACTTGAGCTGCGACTCATGGCTCTCGAATTTTGTGGAGAGAATGAGACTATTTTTCACAATTAGGGCCTTCCTATAGTGCTAAACTGTTGACGTCAAAATTAGAAAGGTTAATTTTAAGCCAACTTTAAGAAAAAAAAGAGCGATTTATTGTTGAAAAAAGACCACAAAATATGTTTAGAGAGTGTAATTATGCCTTACGTTGTTGTATGAAATCACTTGCCCTTTACAAGAGTCCTATTCAACTATTTATACATAGTTTCAGCCGACATTACATCAAATCGGTCAAATCAGCAACAGTACCGAGCTCCGAACTCTGGTCGCCGAATTCTCTTGTGATTTGGTCGATGAGACAGGTGGTCATGTGTCAATATTTTCCCCAGGTAATGATGACCTACAAGGGGCTGGAGGTTGTGGACTTAGGATTGGTTGTTCCGGACGGTGATGATGTCACCTGTGGCAAGTGTATTTGATTAATAGGGTGATGTGACATGGGGTAATCATGATATTTTTTCTGAGATAACAGCGGGATTGTCTGACCTGGGAGTAAGGACCGAACTCACATTTAATTGAGGTGGGGTTAGAGAATTGTTTTTATTAGATCGGAGTTCGGATGTCAACATAGTATATCATAATTTTACATATTTGGTAGGTATTATTTTAATTATTAAATGCTTTTTAGATTGATTTAAAAAAATTTAAAATAATATTGAAACAAGAAAACGCTTTATTACATTTTTTTACGCCTACGTCTCATCTGGGCTCGTCTAGCTTGAAACTTGGATTCCACGGCTCGTCACACTTTTCACGTTTTAGAGCATTGATTTCGATTACTTCTAATTTATATTCTTATGAAAATTATTATATTAAATATGATTCTTTAATTTTATTTTATTTTTACCTTGTAAACTTTCTATTTGTTAATTAGAAATATTCAGTACAAATACATTACTATTTGTGATTTAAACAAATGATTGAGTGATATATATATACTTAGGTTGTGTTTATCTGTATGATTTAAGTAATAAAATTAAAAGATATATACTATGTAGGTCGTATCAAGATGGTTACGGTGGATACTATTTTTTTTTAAATTAAAATAGAATGATATTTGAAATATTTTTCTTAAGCTAATTGGAGAACATATTACAGAACGAGGATGTTAATTTAGATGGTATAATTAAATAAGAAAGATAAAGTAAATATTTTTCTTTTGAATAAAAAGTTTATAAATATTATTCACCTTAATTCATCAAAATACTTTCTTTCTAGTCTTATTCGTCTAATTTTATGGATGATCTTTTGAACTCCCTAATCCAACGATCCGGATGTAGCTTTAGGGAATCGAAATTGCAGCCTAAATTGCTTTTTCAAAAATTTCTAATTCTTCTCACCATAAATTGCAAATTTAATAAAGTAGAATAAATGGAATAGGATAATATCAAAAGAGAGGACAATTATCAAAAGAATCGTGCTGTGTGTACAGCTCGGCACATAATACGGGTTACAGCCTCCTCAAAAAGGAAGGGGCCTGCGCCAATAAAAAAATGCGCGGCCCCCTCCTTTGTGCGGGGGCTGTAGGTTGTACAATTCGACCAATTTTATCCTTATCAAAATCAATCAATGTGATTTTTTCAATAATGAAACTTAATTTGTGGTCGAAAATTTATCATAAATCTTATCAACCTAAGAAAATTCGTTTAAAAAAAGCACTATTGTGTTGCCACCCTCAAAGGGTGCAAGGATTGACTTCTACCTAGCTGAAGTTAAAAGAATTATTTAATACAGCAGTCAGTTTAAGTTTAGTAGTTTAATTAAAACTGGCATCCAAATAAGTGAAAACCCATGCAAGTTAATAAAAAGAAAGAACAAATAGTGATTTTCAGTGCAGTTTGGTTCTAATTTTTTATTCCAAACAATTAATTTTTTGATTGTTAATTTTCTAAGTTAGTCGTCATTTTTAACTTTTTTTCTCACTGGTGGGACTCACTTATCTTTCTAACGGTCAAAAAATTAATTCTAATAATCACTATCGAACAAACCCTCAGTATCAATCAAGTTTAGGCTTTTGATGAAGAAAAAAAAAATTGTGCACATGAAGGGATATGTTCATGACTACATTAAGGGTTTATTTGGTACTGATTCTCAGAATCAATTTTTTCATCGTTAGAGAGAAAAATGGATTCTACCTGAGAGTGAAAAAGTAAAAAAATGACGGCTGATCATATCAAGCAACAATCAAAAAATTGATTTTTTGGCTTGAAAAATCAGAATCAAACGGGGGATTAATAAATTCAACTCTTTTTTAATTATTGTAATGGCTAGACGAGACAATTTAGCCCCTACTTGATT